AATTTTGGGACACCTTTTCATCATTAATATGTACCAGGCGCGGATCCAGGAATTGCAGTTAGAGGGGGCCCCAAAAAGTAGGCAAGGGGTTGGGGGCTGCCTTGAGGCCCCCAGTGGGCCCAGGTAGCCACCCCCCGGAAGCTCCTGGATTCTAGAGATTTTGTAGGGTAAAAATGAGGTCTACCAAGTAGACATATTAACATTTTCTAGACGAAACTGTGATTTACGTTAACTTTGACAATTTTAGGGGGGGGGGGGGTGGGCGCGGGTGGCCCCCCCTTCAATCTGCCACTGTGTATTTAGATCATTGGCATAATACCAAGAAGCAAAGAAAAATATTTTTAAAGAATTCATATATTTTCACTACATATAATCATTAGAGCCCCGCCCTAACACAAAAACGCCTGTCCCTGAGGCCCTGAAATTCACAATTTAGGAAGTCACAGGGGTCATGAAATGAACCATTTAGGAAGAGTCACCTTTCATTACAATTAATATGTACTTAGATCATTGGCATAATACCAAGAAGCAAAGGAAAAGATTTTTAAAGAATTCATACAATTTCACTATATCATCATTAGAGCCCCGCCCTAACACCAAAACGCCTGTCCCTGGGGCCCTGAAATTAACAATTTAGGAAGAGGCAACCTTCCTCATCATAACTATTTACATAGTTTACAGGTTTAATACTCAGGAGCAGAGAAGATTAATTGTATTTTCATTATATAATCAATACAGTCCAACCCTATCACCAGAACCTTAAAGAGTGCATTATTTTAGTGGTTTTGGCCCCATCCCTCAGGCCCCAGGCGGCAGAGACCATGAAATTCACAATTTTTTGTTCCCCTTTACCCAAAGATGCTTCATGCCAAAATTGGATGAGTGGTTGCAGAGAAGAAGCTGAAAATGTTCAAAAGTTTACGCACAAGGCACTGAGTACTCAGTACTGAGTACTGAGTACTCAGGTGACCTAAAAATGCTTACCCTTATCATGTGCTGATTATATACAATTCTAGCATTTTATAACACCTAAAAAAGTAGCAATTACTTTGACTTTTTGCCTCAGAATTTATGTATTTTTTAGCAATTTGACGTAATGTATATAATACTGTTCACTGAAAATAAAATTTTGTTTTATAGTTTTTAAAGAAATCCCTAGTTCTGGTTTTAGCATTGAAAGATCAATATTAGCTTTTAATTGTTTTATATGTTTATTTTATTATTTTTTTTTTGTATTTTTTTTTTTCAGATAAAATGAAAATTATTTATTTGCATTTCAAAAAGATGCTTTAGAGTTAGAAATTTGCTTTTAGTAAAAATTAATGCATCATTTGAATTTCTAACAAAAAAATGTTTGTAAAACACTTATCCCCCCACCTCTCCAAAGTAGTTTGAATTTTTTGATTTTTTTTTGAAGTCCAAGGGCATATATAGCTCTATCCGAAAAACACCGATCTTACCCAAAACAGATCTTGATCTAGATGTTCATATGATTAATCTGTATATTAAATTTCATTTCAATATGCGCAACCACTGCGAAGAAAAAGATCAGAAACTGATGCTGGACCGACAGACCGACCAATAGCATCAAATCGATTTGACCTTCTTTGTACGAAAGGGACATAATAAATTATGCAAATTAAAGAAACGCCAAATAGACTTTTACAATCTACGTACTCTACCCCAGAGTTTTTCCAGATAAGTTTGAGCATTTCTGGTCATGTGCTTCTTGAGAGGAAGATTTTTAAAGATTTTTCTTATATACCGGTATTTCAATTTGAAAATTGGATTCCCTATCGAGACCCTGTCCTACCATGGGGTAAATGATTTTAGAATATTAAAATCTACACTACCTATGAATGCAGTTTTCAGCTTTCCTGACCAAGTGGTTCTTGAATGAAGATTTTTTCAATGACCCCATCCTATTTTTGTCTTTTCTTGATTATATTCCCTTGTAAGGAGACCTTGCACTTTCTTTAATCAACTCAAACTCCCCCGCATACATGGATACTTTGTACCAATTTTGGTTAAAATTCGCACTGGGGTTCTTGAGAGGTTGAAAATTTTAAAAATTTACAGACGGACAACGGGCAATCGGAGTTTTCATCTCTCAAGTAAGCTAGAAATAAAAATGTCTATCCAGCCTTTAATTTTTCCTTATATTTTATTAAACTATGAATTACTATGAATTTTAGTTCCATACACTTGTACTTTATTTCTTTGAAATTCTACAATTATCGGATATTATTTTTTCAAAAATATGCTATATATACTATATATATTTTTTCAAACATTACATTTCAGGTACATGCATGTAAATTAAGAAATTGATTTAAGCATAAAATTTATCGATCACCAGTATATCTTCTCGGATGCTTTTTTATAGAATCTAAAAAGGGAAAGCCTTCCAATACATTACATTTTCAAGGTACGATTGCTTTGTCTGATTTGATCACGTGTGTGATTTGATCATGTGTGTGATTTCATCACGTGTGTGCCGTCTAACACTATTCACTTCTATCATGTTTTTGTGTTTTCGTAAAAGTATGTGTCCTCCTGTGTCTGTTCAGTATACATTGGTAAAATATTTGAGAATGCCATCTCACACACATTCATGATGATTGATCCAGGTCTCCTCAACTATCAAATGTTATGAGCAGTTACTAGTATTAGTTTTTTTTTTCATCTGTAAAATTTTTGACCTCTCGTGTTTCTGTACAGCATATATTTGGTAAAATCTTTTTTTTTGTTTACACACATCACATTTTTGAGTTCATTTTACCATTATGTCTTCTCATCATGTGTCCCTTTAAGGAATATGATTGGCTGCTGAATGTCTTTCCACAAATATTACATTTATAAGGGTTTTCCCCTGTATGTATCCTAATGTGAAGTTTCAATGACGATGGTCGGGTAAATGCCTTCTTACATACAACACATTTATGACGTTTTTCACCAGTGTGTGATGTTTTGTGATACTTTAAATCATTTGAAATGATAAATGCCTTCCCACACACATCACATTTATATGGTCTTTCACCAGTATGTGTCCGCTTGTGTACCTTTGATTTGATTTGAACATATTTTATTATGTAAAATACATAATTGGATTGGGCAGCAGGCATAGCCTATATGAGCCCTCTCCAAAGGTACAAGGTTAATTAATACACATATAGTAACAGGTTTATATATGACCAATAAGTTGTATACAGACACAAATTTAAATAGAACATAGGGGAAAGAAAGATACATGAGTAAAGATAGAAAAGGAAAAAAAAACAACATATGAATACCGGTTTATAAATGTGGAAATGAATTGAATCGAAAAAATGAGAACTACAGCAATTTATAAACATACAATGAATGTGTATTTAACTTAGAACATTAACTGGAATAAGTATTACATAGTTGTGTACCTTTAAGATAGACAATATTGTAAAAGATTTACCACACACATCACATTTATATGGTCTTTCACCAGTATGTGTCCTTTTGTGGTTGTGTAAGTTATGTGAGTGTGTGTATGACTTTCCACACAAACTACACAGAAAAGGTCCTTTATTTGTCTTTTTCTGTCCTGGAAGGTTGAATATTTTCCTACACACTTCACAATTATAGGGTTTCTTACATATATGGGCCCCTGTATTTGCAGGCAATGTGGATTTTACACTGCAGGCTTTCTTACACACATTACATGTGTACAGTTTCTCTGTTGTGTGTATGCTCATGTGTCTTTCCAGACAGGCGGCCATCTTTCCACATACTTCGCACAGAGAGGATCTTCTTTAAATAGAAATTCTTACTGGTTTATCAGTCTGCCCACTTTGGTAATTGACCATCCTGCATATATCAACAAATGGATTTTTACATTTACGTTTTTTCAAAATCTCCTCGCATATCTGTCTCTTCATGTGCTTCTGTAAATATTTTGGGTTTCCAAAGGACTTTCCACACTTATCACAATTAACTTTGGTTACAGGACTCTTAACTTTGTCTTCATATGTCCCTTCAAATGCAGTATTTCACTGAATGCTTTTCCACATGTGTCACATTTATGAGATTTTTCACTTGCATGCACCCTCCTGTGTAACTGTAAAGATCTTGATTTTTTAAAAATCTTCCCACAAACATCACATTGGTGTAAGGCCTTTTCCAGAGTAGTGTTATTTGGACTCTCCATGTGATCTGACTCAATTGCAAGTTTCATTATTCTTTGAAAGTTTTTTTTTCAATTCTAAGTGACCTTGGATCTTCTAAAGAGTCATGTGCTTAATTATAAAGCCTTTGTTGATCACTTTTGTGCCTCCATAAATGTACCTTTAATTCTGATTTTTTTTCTGATTTTCCGCTGACAAATATAATATGCATAATTCTGTCACCAGTTTGTGTCTTCATATGCCTATTGTTCTTCTCATCATTCTTTTTTCTGTCATTCTGTCCATATAGTTGTTCAACTTTTCTTTATTGCTTCTAATGTGTGATGTTGATGCTAAAGCAGTCCCAATCACCTGTAAAGATAAAAAAAAACAAAATGGCTTCTTTAATTTAATCTTTATCTAGAAACATATTTCATGATTTTTATGTAGATGACGATTGTTTGACATTTACATGTAAATGATCCAGCAATGTGTAGAATATCATCTTTGAAGCTTGAGGTAATAAGCACCACCCTAAAGTTTATCTGGTGATAACCCCTACCAATCAAGTGAAATAAAAACTCTTATTAGGTGTTTGAAATTAATTGATATTTATCAACCTGTCCCTGTGTTTAACTTGGGATTCGAAATTCACAGAGGGATTTGCTAAGCAAATGTAAACAATTCTGCGAAAATTAAAATCAAAATGTCCTGACAATGTCTGCAATTTGTTCAATTGAATACAGAGGAATCACCCCCGGTAGATAATTTAATTGAGGAGAAAATACTGATATTTCAGCATACTGAAAACATTTTGTCATGAAACAGGACAGATATTTCGGATTTACTCAAGTTGAAAGTACATGTGTACATAGTGTTCAATTAATATGTTCGATAATTTACTTGGATTCATTATTTAAAATGTTATATACCATACATTACATGACTTAATTCTGGGGCACCAATACCATAAAATTTGCCCCTCGTTGACAGGAAAGCCCATGAGAATTATTTCGCCCTCTGCTTTTGGGCTGATGTACCATATTCCCATTACATTTAGTTATCATACTTATTTTTTATGGCTTCGAGGGCAGCATAGAATATTTGCCCAAGGCTTTCCAGTCATCTTGGGGCAAATATTCTGGTATGCTGCCCTAGAAGTCATGTAATACATGTATAATACCAAATCACACAATAGACCGAATAGAGACCGTTTCATGGTAACTGCCGTAGTGCTCTTTTGCAGGGCAAAATGATATAGTTTGGTGAAATAATTATATGATCAAAAGTGATTGTTTAATATACGTCACTTAATTATTTGTCAATAAAAACTTCGCCAAACGTTATAGTTTTGCCCTGCCAAAATGTAGTACCGCTATGGACACTGGAAGTTTATGTAAATATACAGTACGTTCATGTATAAACAAAGCTATGCACAAACTATATATTTACATTAATTTCCAGTGCTCTTGTAGCTTATTGATAAAACTGCCAACACCTGCAATCTAGCATACCTGATTTTTCAGTACATCGGTACATTTTGCATTTGACAAAGAAAGAAAAAAAACCCAAAAATTTCCAATTCTGTGATTTGTTAAAACAGGTATCGGAAGATTCTAAAGGAAACCTAGGATATATACCTTGTTCAGTCTGTGCAAGGGGGGGGGGCAAAGGTGTGTGTAGTTTTGGAATGTAAACAAAATGGAATGTCGATCCCGATATAAATGTACATGTTTACCAGAATGCGTCGATTTACTCAAAAGAACCCTAAATAATTCAAAAGGAAATTATTTTATGTTAACATAAATGTTGGCAAAATACATATTATATTGTTTCAACTTTTCTTTGAGAAATAATTATACTCCTTTTATTGAAGCATCTTGTGAGCTCTGCTTTGTTTAATTTTAGCTGAAAATAACAAAGTATTGTTATATTTCTCCCTCTATTCTACCCTATCTTACTATATGATATCTAATGAAAATATAAGTTTAATTTGATGACTTATTCTAGGCATCCGGTAGGGTGGGGTGGTGGACACACACTTTCCCTCCAAATTAAATAGTTTTATTTTTAATAAATATGAAAGTGTTCATTCAATATCCACTTATTCTCTTTATTTCTAGTCCTTTTGTTTTGCTTTTAATTTCCTTTTGGGTCCTATTGAATGAATCGATGCACCGCATGAAACAGGGACCCCATCGGTCTATCTATGTACATTTGATTTTAAAAAATGAAATAAATAAAGGTACATGTATCAAAAAATAATAAATAAAACACTAGTTTTGTAAGATATTGTGTGCAAAATATATACCTTCAATAATAATAATAAAAAAAAGATTCCTACATTGTACAACATTTAAACAAAAATAATTTCATACCGGTATTCATTGGCAAAGTAGAAAGAAAATAATATTATATTAATTAATTAAAGTGTTATCTGTGTTAAATTCGAATTTTGGTTTTGGTTGTAAGGTCTTTAAAAAGATTATGATTATTGCAATCAAGTTGAATCAACCAATCATTACAATCAATGAACTAGCAAATAAAAAAAATTATACACTGTACTGTACTTTCCTTCAAACTCTTCAACTTTTCAACTTAAAGATAATCTTCAAGGCAAAATAAATATGATAAAGTTGATTGATATATCAAAAATATTTTTTTTGTATATATTATATTAACACGGTAGACAAACTGCGCAGCGTAGTTGACATTTTACACTTTGCATAGGTGTAAAAACTCCTGTAAAGTATATAAAGGCATCGATCTTTGAATCTTTAATTAGTATTACATGCTGCATAGAGTGGCTATAATTATTACGTTGTATTGTATAAATGTGTGTTGAATGAATATTATACAGTCAATTGATTCGTTAATACGGACGCCTGTAAAACTCCCACACACCTCTTCCTAAGGGTCATCCTTTGATAGAGTAGAGTGCGGGATCTAGAAGGGAGGGGATAGATTTATTAAGTGTATCGTATATAAAAACAACGAAAAGTAATATTGGAACACCCTTGCAAAAAAAAAAAAAAAAACCTGACGGTGACCCCTTTTTAAGTATGGACTCTATGTATGTCTTTCGTTTTAAAATTTAATGGTATCAAGATGTTTCACCTAGCGAGACTTAGATAAAGGTTTCTTTAACAAACCATGCCAGGTCCGCATCAACTGTTTTTAAAGGGGGTATTCCCCCTACCCCTCCCACAAAAAACATTACGAAAAAAAACATATTCCCTTTAATTATCTCATTTACTCTACTTCTTTCCATCTTTGACCCATTTTATGCCCGTTCCTATCCCTTCCAATCAATCTTTCACTCTCCATTCCTCATTTCCCTTATACAACTAATCTCCTTGCTTCCCACATCTGCCCCCCCCCTCCCTGCCCAACTCACTTCTCTTATAGCGGCTGTTTTTTTCCCCTTCCTCCCTCTCTTCCCTCCCCCTTCCCATTCCCCCGTTCACGTCCATTTTATCCTTTTTTCCTCTGCTATATCCCGTCCCACTCAATTATGCCCATTCTACATGTACCCTCCCATGTTGTTCTTATCCCATTTCATTTCACCGCTCCAACTTTCAATCAGCCATCTTTTTCATGGCCTCCCTTCCCTTCCCCTCCACATCCTATCGATCTCTCTCCTTTCTCCTGATAATCCATTTTCCCCAATCCTATCATGGAAGCATTATTTTGTATTTTATTTTTGTTCTGTTATAAAGATTACGTGCTTGAAATGATTGTGAAATTCTATTTTAATTATTTGCTTGTATGAGCTAAATGTTTTGTAAATAATTTATATGTATTGTACCTGTTTATACTGTATTTATTTATTTGCGCCGTACTGTTGTTATTACGTATTGTGTTTGATGTGGACATTGCACTTGTAGTTGTAAATGAATTAATCAAGAAATAAACATAATTTTAAGATAAGAGTGGTGTCATAGACAATATTAGCTCTGAAGACATAATCGAAGACGCCGACTTTTGACCGCCGTCTTGATTATTTTTCTCACTTTCTTTCATTTATCCTGAATACTTCTAATACTCAGACAGGCTAGGGTATTTTAGTCATTTGACAAGACGGTATTTGCTGCAATATCAATTAAACTAGTACTAATATATATAGTAATATATATAGTTGTGAAAAATTAGAAAGGATCCATATTGTAAAAGACATCAACTAAATGGAACTCTACAAGACTTTTATACGGGGATATTTACATTACACACGTATTTTACTAATAAAGTTTGTTGAAAACTGTGGCCCTCAAAACGCAATAAAATGCAAAGAGGGTCAAAAAATTAAAATATGCATTTTATTTTGTCGTCACAGGCGAAAATCAAAATTCACGCACACATTGAACAGAAGCTGTTGGTAAATGCTCTCCCATTTATTACAACTTACCCGATGGATACTAGTAATACAGAGATCTGATTGATCAGAAGGACTAGTACCTTGTTTATCTGTGTATTTATAGCAATTTACGGAAATTTCCCCTTTTCCCCTCATTATTTGGAGATCGTCCTAACCTATTATATGACTAACCATGGCTTTGCTGTTTTTACCATAATACGTTGAACTTCGCTTTAATACTACCATGCAAAGATATCGGTTTCCTATTTAAGCCCAACACCACCCTCATCATTATGATCCTGATGTGAACAAACTTGAATCTTCAATACCTGAGGATGCTTTGATACTTATCACGGATTTTATCAGATTTAATCAAGCAGATTTTTATTATAATCCCTCTAAACAACAGGGCGTGGCTCTTCAATGGCACAAAATTGAATTACACGCAGACAGACTAATCTACAGGCAGTAACAAACAGATAAAATCTGTTCAGAAAAGCTCATTTAAAGTTTAACACAAATTGTTAAAGAAATAACGGTTATATTTGATCGCCATATTAATTCAATCTCCTGTAATATGTACTCCTCCAGCCCTTACATAGCCTGGAGTTTTAATCACGATACAATGTATTTTGCTTCATAGAGATTACCCGAACAGATTTCCTTTTCATTGTCATTATGCAGGGGATGCTATCTCTTCCATGGCGCCTGATCCAAACTCTGATGTTTTGATATTTGCCCTGCTCTCAGTTTGTATTGCTTACATTGATATTGAGCTTGAAAATTGTTCGTTATCTTCATATTTTATGCTAGACTTGGGCTATATAACAGTGTAGAAGTGAACATATATAGAGAGGAGGACGGACAGACAGACGAACTGACTAATGTTAGGAACTTCACTAAATAACAGATCAGCTAAGCTAACAATATCTCTCTTCTACAGTTTTATTTGTAAAAGCTCAATTAAAAAACAGAACATCAAACTAAATAAAAAATATGACTGTAAAATTAAATTTACCCATAAAAGAAGATCAGCATAAACAAAACACAAATTTTAAATATTTTGATTCTGATTCACTTGGTCAGAAATCAATGTAAAACAAGAGGCCCTTGGGCCACATCGCTTACCTGAGCATTGTGGCTAGGAAAAAAGCAGAAATATGTTTATTATTGGAAACTTCACAAAAGTGGTCCCAATCATTCTTAAATGGAGAGGGATGATTTAATTAAACTTGAATCTACACAAACTAAGGATACTTGCATATTTATTTGAATTCCTGCGGCTTTATTGCTTCTTAAACTTGAAGTAACATTGCTGCTCACCGACCCCCCACCCCCCTTCCCAACTAAATATTAATCATACCTTTGCTGTCCTTGAAATATTCCCTTGACCGTTGTTGCGCCGCTCCATCTATCCAGGGGTCATGATTTGAACAAACCTGAATGTACACTTACTGAGGATTCCTCTATATATATATATATATTATCAATCTTGATTGATTCATTGATTATATATTGTTTAACGTCCCTCTTGAGAATTTTTCACTCATATGGAGACGTCACCGTATGCCGGTGATGGGCTTCAAATTTAGACCTATACTCGGCACTCAGGGCCATTGAGCAGTGGAGTTTTATCGTGTCAGCGCCTACCGTGACACGGGACCTACGTTTTTAAGTTCATATCCAAAAGACACGTGACTTTCACTTCTAGTGCCAAGCGCTTGGAGAAGAACATCACTACCTTTGTTTACGTCTTAGGTATGACGCGGTGCCGCGAACGAGAATCGAACCCGGGCCTCCCGATCACGAAGCAAACGCTTTACCACTAGGCTACCGTGACCGGTGGATGATCAATCTTGAGAACATTTTAATGAATTTACTAGCTACTTCCATGTTAAATTTTGATCGGCCATTGTTCCCCCTTCCTAAATCCAGAGATCATTATTTAAACAAATTTGAATCAACACTACCTGAGGATGTTTCCTTATAAGTTTCATCTTTCCTGAACAAGTGGTTTTTGAGGAAAGTTTTAAAAGATGCCATTAATTTTCCACTAATTTTCATTTATATCCCCTTGGCAAAGGGTGTTGCCCTTCAATTTAGCAAATTTGAATCCCCTTCACCCAAGGACAGTTTGTGGCAAGTTTGGTTGAAAATGGTCCCGTGGGTCTTGAAAGAAGTCGAAAATGTGAAAAGCTAACAGACAGACGGACAGACAGACGGCGTACAAAATGTGATCAGAAAAGCTCACTTGAGCCTCCGGCTTAGGTGGGCTTATATATGCATAACAATGTTACAGTTTCAAAATGTCTGAGACATAAAATAAAATTACTAGT